CATCAGCTGCTTCCACATCGGACGGTGGCGGCCAGCAAAAATGCAGTGTTCTCGGTGCACTGAGCAGGACAGTGCGAGTAAGTTGAGAGTAAATTGTTTTTTTTGTATGAAGAAACTTTTGTTATTTTTGGATTTGATTTATGTAATTTTCTGGCCGGCGCCTTGCTTGACTTCCGATGATAGCGAGTTTCTGGAGTTCTGCCCAACAGAGGCAGTTGTAAGAATTCAGTCACTGAGATGCGTCCTTATCAGCCCTCTTCTTTCGTCCGGGAATTGCTGAAGCCAGTGAGGCTGAAAGTTATTCGACGGGAATTGTTTGCGGAGCAAAAAATCCATTTGAATAATATCCAGCAGCTCTTTCTCGTTGCTCACTTTTTCTGACTGCAGAATGCAAACTATTCCAACATCCACCGCACTGCCGATCGGTTTTCCCACCATGCTCTCCCCCATTAATGCATTTGGGGCTCATTTGCATCCTCGTACAGGTTGCGTGCCAGCCGCAAGAGGTGCCGTTCACAGTTCATGGTGGAGCAGCAGAAGGTCGTCTGATACTTGTGGAGCTTGTTCGGCATCCCGATTTGCTCACTGTCCTAGCTATGGACGACATCATTCTTTCCATCAATGGAAGGTTTCTTTTTTGCGCTTCGTGCCCTCTTTTAGAACCACTTTTTCATATCATTTTTTACGCTGAAATTCGTCCCATTCACTTAAAAAGTTTGCTTTGGTAAGCAAATGGTTAGTTCCAGATTTGAGTATTGTTCGCTGTATGATCATATAATCAAGTTTATTTTGACTTTATGCCTCAGCTCTCCGTTTATCATGACTTTTCTTTAATTGTTCTGTTTTGGGGTAAGCTGTCACAGTGGTGTGGATTCTATGAGCCAGGCTGCCGTGTCTTTTTTTGCGCCCAGAATGCAGCCCATTGTCTTAAATTACTCGGGGCTAAGGTAAATCCCACAGTAAAGTATTACCCAACTCGGCGCAGAGTAAAGAAACCGTTTGGAGAGTTTTAAAAGATAACGG